CAGCCTCATGGCCTCTCTGGGCTGCAGGTTCCACGGGAACCTGAGGGAGGAAGAGAAAGGACACCAGAGTCTAAAGATTTACAGACCTGAATTTGAATTCCAGCTTTACTACCTCTTGGCTGTGTGACTGAGCTAGTGACTTCACCTCTTGAAGACTTGGTTTCCTCAAATGAAAAAGGGTCGCTATAACCATATCTACATGTAAAGCCTTTGTCACAGGGCCTGTCATATAATATATGTCCATGAAACAGAAAGTGCTATTGTTATTTTCAGCATGCTTGCCCAACCCCAGTCCTTTCCTCACCGCCTTCATGACTATGATGTCACCTGTTCTATTTACCTACTATTGTTTTAACTTGGTTTATTAAAAGATGAAATATCTTTTTAAAGTATTTTTTAAAGATTTTCTTTATTTTTCAACAGAGGGGAAGGGAAGGAGAAAGAGAGGGAGAGAAACATCAGTGTGTGGTTGCCTCTCATGCACCCCCCCTGCTGGGGACTCAGCCTGCCACCCAGGCATGTGCCCTGACTGGGAGTCAAACCAGAGAGACCCTTTGCTTCGCAGAGCCAGTGCTCAATTCACTGAGCCACGCCATCCAGGGCAAAACAAGCATCTTTTTAAAGGAAATATTACTTCACCACCAAGGAACTCAGTATCACTAGTCAGAAATAGAAGATAACAGTAATAATAAAAATTTTAACATTGTAAATGTTTGTTGTGCATCACCTAAAATTATCTCACTTGCCTCTAGCAACATGTTACAATTTAGGAGACAGATGATGTTACAGGAGCAGTAGTTTCAGCACCAGAATTTGTATACAGGGGTTGCCTAGACATTCCTATCTAATTAAAAGAAAGGGGAGTTGGGGGGATGCTTTTCTCGAATCTGAATTTGCTAAGCAGAGGCAATGTTTTAAATTTCCAAATTAAAAAAAAATTAACATACTTCTAGTCACACTTTCGATTAGACAAAGTGTTCTTTTGTCCATATCAAAGGATGGAAGAAGCAGGACTGGTTGAAGTTATGGGTCCAGCAATGGCTGAAATCTCCAAGCCCATCTTTGGCACCCCCACCCCGCCCCCACCCGGAGGCAGGAGACAGGTTGCCTATTGAAACCGCCTTCACTGAGCAGCCTCCTAATTGCCTGGCCCTGTGCCATACTTTTGTATCTACCTGCTCATTACCATTCCTCCAGTAAAATCACGTGTACTCGCCTTGTCTTCCAGATGGGAAAACTGAGGCTCAGAGAAGGATAGTCATAACAATTTCTTATTCATCCTACATATATTTACTAAGCGTATGCTACATGCTCAAGCACTGTTTAGGAACTAGGGATTCTGAAATGAACCAAAACAAAGTCCATATTTTCATGGAACTAATATTCTAGTGGGAACAAACAGGAAGCAAATAGACATAGACTATGTCAGCGTGATGGAGAAGAGGCCAGCAGGTAAGGGGACAGAGTGACAGGACTTGCTATTTTAAATGGGTGGTCAGGGAAGGCCTCACTAAGTGGTGATATTCGAGCAGAGGCCAGAGGGAAGGGAGGCTGTGAGTCACTTGAACATGTGAAGGAAAGGAGATTCAGACATGGGGATCAGCAAACACAATGGCCCTGAGAAGGGAGCATGCCTGCTGTGTGTAGCAGAAGATATTTATGCCAGAAGTCAAGTGTTGAGGAAAGACTAGTAAATGGGGTCAGAGGAGTGAAAGGGGTTAGATTATAGGGATTTATTTGTAAGGTTGTGATGAGAACTTTGACTTTTACTCTGAGATGGGAGCCATGGGAAGGTTTCACGTCGAGGAAAGATATCGGTTGTCAAAGGATCGCTGACTTTGGTAATAAAAGGATAACTTTTTGCATAATAATAATTATATGGCATGGGTTCGATTCCCCTAGGTGGGTGGGCTGCAGGAAGTACGGTACTGTTCGTTTCTAAGCTTCATGTTCCCTGACCATAAATGCACGCACAGAAATTAATTATTTCTAGCGGCTAAGCTGAACGGGGACAGAATTTCTGTCATCCCCAGTACCTAGGACAGTGCCTGGGACTCAGTAGGCGCTCAGTAAATACTTGAGTTAACACAGGGCCCCGTAAATCGTTGAAGTTCCATAAAATAACAGCAGGTGTCGCACCCGCCCTATAACCGCCTGCTGGAGCCTCCAGGGCTCCACTAAGTCAGGCTCAAACAGGAACCCATTCACTCGAATTCGAATTTTCCAGGGTAGGAGCTTCCCAAGGCTGAATTATGAATCTCTTCTCTTGAGAAACTGACTTCTCAAATGGAAAAAGAGGCTTTGGCCCTTTAACAACTACAGGAATAATCCAGATTCTCTGGAATCAGTTCCCAGAATGCGCAGCGCTATGCAAATGAGATGTTTCCTTAGTGAAGATGATTCGTACCATGTGAGCAAACATAATATTTTGAAAGACTATCTGTCATAATAAACTGCAAGAATTTGTAGATCTTGAAGGAAACAATCCCATAAACTACCAAATTAAATTACCATAACTCTAAAAGAGTTTAAATTTATGGCCTTTATATAACTGAGTGGAGACCGAGGGTTGTTGCCCGGATGATCCTCAGTGGTCTGGGGTGCAGGCTTCAAACCTGTAGCTGTCTAGCGACAGAGTGGTTCAATTCCACCTTTCGGGCGACTACATAAAGCGTTTCTACTTTTTCTCCACATAAAACTGAACTTTAAAGTGCGGATTGACGCCAGCGCCTGCAGAGGTCGCTGCAGTCCTACGAGCCCCTCGGGTCTCCTTCAGTGGTTACATCTTTACCGCGAATATCAAAGACAACTCCAAAAGATGAAAACAATACTCATCCACCCTGTCTGTTCTAGGGTATTTAGCTTGAGAATTATATTGGATTTCTCTCGTTCGCTTACTCACCCGCACAGTCATTTGTGCTTACTCACGTACTTAATCACACATGCACTTTATTAACCAGTCAAATATGTATTCATTTGTTCATTAATTCATTCACTCATGCAACAGGTCCTTGCTCTATGCCCGGGTCTGCACTGGGAGGTGCTGGGACACAATGGTGACGATAACCCTGGCGACCCTGGCCTTACGGTATTCCCAGCCCAGCAGAGAAAACAAACATTAAACAATCATTAATTATACATTTGATTAACAATTAGAAAGTGGTGACTCCTGGGAAGGAAAAAGTAAGAATCATGTGGAATTATCAAATAAGGAGAACTGAGTGCAGGTGGGCTGTTAGGGTAACATTTGGGCAGACACCTGAAGGGTGAGGGGGGATTAGCCAGCTGCAGGAGAAATAGATATTCCTGGTCAGAGTCGCGGTGGCCCCAGTGATGGCGATGGGGATGGCGATAATGGCACCTTCACTCTGCTAAGTGCTGTCACTCTCTGAGTTCACTGACTCCTCACTCCAGGTCCATTCTGCAGCTGAAGAAACTAAGGTTCAGGGAGATGATGTTTCTTGTCCAAGGTCACCCAGCTTTTGGTATGCCTCCAGTCCCAGGCTCGCAGACACCTGGTCGGTGCTATTGACCACTTCCCTGTGCTGTCTTTCCCAAGCCAGCTACTCGCCACGTCCTGCCTGTTCTGCTTCCTAAATGACTTTCAGATTCTTCACTTTGTCTCTCCCTCCCACAGCCCTGGCCCTGTTACAAGACCCCGTTGGAACCCATTGTCCCCAGCCTAGCATCCTCCCTGGTCTCCAGTCCCAGTCTTACCCTCTTCTCCCAGCTACCCTCAAGCTGAAGGCTAAAGGAGTCTCCCTAAAGCACAGACCTGTCCCTGCCCTTCTGATGCTCAAAACCTGCCACGGTTCCCCAATACCCTCAAAGGAAGATCCAAATTCTTTGTCTGGACTCGAGGTCTGCAGAATGTGGTCCCTGCTCACCTCTTTCTCTGCACGTTTTGTCCCAACCAGCATGAACCTCTAGCTTCCTCAACATATCAAGCCTTCTCTCCACCACCAGCTCTTTGCATTCACTGTTTCTCAGCTTCAGTCTTTTCCTATTGCCTTCTATATCCCCTATTTATCCTCTAGGACTGAGCTTTGCTGTCCTCTTCTCCGAGAAGCCTTTCTGGACTCCCGGACCAGGTTAGATGCCCCCTCTGGACTCCCCCAGGCCCATGGACTCTCCCAATCCTGTGCACTTTGGATGGTCCCTGACAGTGTCCCCCACTGGACTGTGAAGCCTAGGAAGGGATAGCCTGTGCCTGTCTCAGTTCCTGCAGGGTCCCCAGCACTGCCCAGCACAGGGCTAGGTTACACAGCAGGTGCTCAGCAAATTTTTAAAAATGAGTTGGTAAATTAAGTGATTCCATGACAATGTCCCCTGCCTGGTCATTTAAGTCACTAAGCATTCAAATGACCTCTGGACCATCAGTTCCATTTCCAGAGTGCTTGCTGCTATGCAAATAAGGGAGGGCTTGGATTTTGTAATGGGAATGTCTCAGCTGTATCCTTTGACAAAGTGACAATATTTCTGGTTCAGTCCATCTTGGGTTGACTCTGATACGTTCATAACCCAAAAGCAGTCATGCAAAAAGCAAGAGGAAACTCATCTTCATATTTATCATCATCCATATTTTTATGGCTCATAAACTTCCAAAGACCAACTCAAGTTCTTTGGGAAATCAGGATGCGTACTTCCAGCTGCTCTACCTGTGAGATTTTGGCTCAGACCATCCCCAGAGCACACAGGGTCCAGTATAAGTTCCTCCCTCACAAGGAAACCACCATGGCCCTTTAGCATTTCAGAACCACACACCTCACAGCTAATATTCTGTCTCTTTATTTTTTTTCCAGCAGGTGGCACAACCCGTGCATATGGAAAGTCCTCCTGACTGTCTACCCTCCCTCCATCCTGCTGTAGGCTGATTCACCAGTAGGAGTTCCAGCACGTATATGTATGTATATAGTCCCCACAGTGAACCTCACTCTCTCGGGCTGAAAGGAAGGCAGGTGATGGGTATTAGGAGGAAATAGATGCTGAGGCTTGGTGGATGCATTTTTAAGAGCTTTTTATTGGCGACAGTGCAGAACCGTGGGGGGAGGGTAGTGGCACAGGGCCAGCCAGTCCCAACCCCCTGGGGTCAGGTGCAAAATACAAAAAGAGAATCACAAATACAGAATGGGGTGGGGGAGTTCAATAACTCGAGGTCTGCAGCAGCAGGCCTGGCTCACAGTCTCACACTTGCACCCAGAATTCTCAAAGATACAGATTGTAAAAGTCTATGATTCCTCAGGCTCACAAAAATAAAATCTCATGACCCCAGTGAACCCAAAGTCAGAAGGCAGCTGGACATTCAGGAAAAGTCAGAAAGGAGGCAGCTGGAAATGGTCGGAGAAACACCGGCAGATGAAAGACAGAGGCGGAGAACACTCCGGGAGACAGCCAGAGACGGCCGGAAACAACCGGATGCGCCGAACAGTCAGAGAAGACACAGCTAGAGACAGGCGGATAGAGGCGGCTGGACAGAGACAGGCTGCCTCCAAGTCTCCAGAAGCAGTGTTTCCAATTCAAGGGCATGGCTTGGGGGCCGAAGAGACCGAGGCCAAGGCTGCAGAAGCGCTCACACACGCACGCGCGCGCACACACACACACACCCATATATAATATATTTATTTATACATAATAGATATAAGTGACTTTCGGAGATCAGGAAAGGGATAAATAGCTACGGGAGGGATCCGGGTTCAGGGCGGCAGGCGCAGGACGGGGCACTGGAATGTTCTCCATGCAGCACGAGGGCGGCCTGGCCCACTCAACTTGAAAAAATACCATTTTGCCTCAGGAGAAAATTCTCATGAGGTGAAGCGTAAGGAAAGGTGGGGTGGGGGTGGGGCCAAAACCAAGATTTGGGACTGGGGGCGACGGGAAGAGGGAGCTGGGATCTCGGGAACTCCCTTTGAGTTCACCAGGCCAAAAATATTGGGGGTTGGGGGCCAAAGCCTCAGCCTTTACATCTTTTCCCGAATAATGTCGGGTCCCCTGGCAATCTCCCTTTCTAGAAAGAATGTGGGGATGCCAAGGGAAAGGAGAAACTGGCGTCCTAGGCAGGGGTGGGGTGACAGGCCTTAAACAAAAAAAGGCCGGGTCTGGGGGCGAGGGGTCCTGAGGAGAGAGGCCACGCGGATGGAAAACTGTCACCCCCACCCCCGCCTCGATCTGTCATCCCCCTTGAGTCTAACTCACTGTTGAGGGTAGGAAGGAGGCAGATGGGGGGGTGCGGTGGCGGTTAGAGAGGAATCAAGGTTAGGCTTTGGGGGGTGGGGGGATGCACAACCCCTCCGGAAGGGTTCTGCCCCTCTGGGCTCTGCCCCCCTTCTCCCCACAATCGGCCAATTCATTTCACAGTATAAACACTCCAGCAGGACAGGCATCACAGCGCCCCCTGCTGCCTGAATCAGAGAGGCCCAACAAGGAAGGCCAGGAGGGGAGGCTGAAGGGGGTGCGGCTTGGAATAATACTGTAATCAAACAGGAGGGCTGGGGCCGAATGTGGGAGACGCTTAGGAGGTGAGAAATTCAATCAGAGCTGGTTTTGCTGGGAGGGAGCGGCTGGACAGTCAACGAGGGAAGTTCACATTTCAGACTAAGTCTGGGTGGGTGAGGGATATCATAGGGGGACATCAACTTCCCTCCAAAGGGGGCTCAATGCAGAGGAGAGTCTGATCACATGAAAATGTTGGATAAATAAGCTCAGGTCGGCGGAGCAGGGAGAACCAGCCTAGTCACCTCCCAGGAGCGTCAGCGTGGGAGACCTAGGGGGGTGGCTCTGCGGCACTTCCTCGTTGGGCCTCTCTGGAGAGGACTCCAGCCCACCCCACGGCCCACCGCCGGCCCCTTGTTCCCCCCAGCCCACCGGCGGGCACCACCCCCCGCCCACCCGCTCATTCCCAGACATTGGGTTGAAGTGAGAAGACCAACATGTAGCCGAAGGTGTCCATTCCCTCCCACCCCTGCCTCCAAAGTCACCAGCTCTCTGTCCTCGCGCAGCCACACAGACAAGAGGCAGCGAAAACACAAGGAGGTCCTCCTGGCCGACGGCATGGGCTGCAGAGAGTCAAGCAGGGGAGGCGGGGAAGCCACACGCCCGCTTAGTCTCATCCCCTCTCTGTCCTCCTCCTCCTCTTCCAAATCTCTCTCCCTTGTGTATTTTGTTAGTTTTGTGTCTACAGGGTTCACAGAGCAAGAAGGGAGGGCGAGTTCAGGGGGTCGGAAGGCTGGTCGCTGCCGCTGGGGCGATGGGCGCTGGCGAACGCGGAGACCTCCGGGCAGGTGAGGACAAACGAAGAAGTGTACGAAGGGTTAACAACGGGGAAGGGGTCGCCGAGGACTTGAACTTCACTGTGTGTAAAGAGAGAAGCTGTCAGGTTGGGGGGTGCGTCTTGGCTGGTCTGGAAGGGCAGGGGCGGTGGTGGCGGGGGCGGCAGCAGCCAGCTGAAACCATCTTCCTTAGTGGATGCTGACCCCGGCAAATCTCTCACCTCCGCCAGCGGGCCCGGCCCCGGCCCCTCTTCGTAGGGGATCTTGCAGCCCGGTTTGTGGGCCACCAGCACAAACTCCAGACGCTCCTTCTCCTTTTGGAGTTCGGCGATCTCCGACTCCAGCTCCGCCTTTTCTTCCTCCAGCTGATCTGTCTCCTGAGCCCCCGGTAGCCAGGTCATGGAGAAGACGAAGGAAGGACAAGAAGACCGTCAGCGACTGGAGAAGGTGGGTCGTGGCTAAAGCCATCATCACCCTTAGACTTGCTGCAAAGGCCCAGGGCTGGAAGGCAGCTCTGAACTGAGGGGACAGTCTCTCTGAAGTGGAGTCCCGGTGTGCTATGGAACTTGGGGCTAGGGTCTTGCCCTTTAGGAGCCTCAGTTTCCCCATTTGCCCAGTAGATGGTTGGAAAGCAGCCAGGAGAAGATGGAAGTCTCTGGTTGCAGGAGGCACTCGGAGGTTTGTTGAATGAATAAATGAGTGTCTCGTGTTTTTAATGCCACCTCTGTTACCCACTCCCCTCTGTCTCCCAGGGAAGAGAAAAGGTGGCGCAGGAAAGGACGGAATTTCCCTGAGTTCCTCTGGGAGCAGCAAGTCACACTGCAAGTCAAAACTAAAATCCTCCCACTGAGGGAGGACGTTAAAGGGGAGGGGGCATTGGTGGATGCCACCAGCCCAAGTCTGAGAATGATGGGTGGCTGGGACAGGTGCGGGGGGGGGGAACTGACACAGGATCAGAGAGGTTCATTTCACAGATCCTCTAGAATGTTAAAGCCAGGAGAAACCTGGGAGATTCAGTGAGGGGTGGAAGAGATGGAGAAACTGAGGCAAAATGAGTTATTGCTTGCCCAAGACCAAAAGGGAGAAATGGCTGGAGCTCCCCGCTGTTAAAGGTCCCTCTTATGTCTCCTCAGGGAGGAGTGAAGGCCAGGAGGGTGGTATGCATGTATGGTGGGGGGTGTTCACACACCTGGGCAGAGGGGCCAGGGGCTGACACGAACATGCGAGGTTCTGTGTGTGTGCACAGGGCTGCCCCGTCTAGCCACACCTGTCCCTAGCTCCATACGTGGAACCTCTGTTTCTCAGCCCAGGATACGGGCACAGGTGGGGCAGATTGCAAAGGATGGAGGGAGAGTGCCCTCCAGCACACCCTCACCCCACCCCAGGGGCCATCCTCACCGCCTGGAGTCGGTCTGTCAGCTCCCTCCGACGGTTCCGACATTTAGCTGCTGCCAGTTTGTTTCTTTCCCGGCGAACCCTTCGCTTCTCCTCCTCCTCCGGGGTAAGCTGAGTAAGGCAGACAGAGGCCATGAGGTTTGGGAACACGGTGCACCTCCTCCATCCACCCCAAACCTCCTCTTCTTCCAGAAGCCAGAAAAGGACCCTCTAGTCCCCACCAGCTGTGGCAAGGACTATAGGGTTTGTGCAGCACTGAGTCCTGAGTGGTCCCTCACCCCAATAGTGAGAAAGTTCCTGCCTCTTTTGTCTCCTCCCCCAGATGAAGTTCTGATGCCTCTTACTCACCGTCTCCTCTCGGGGTCTCCTAGGCCGGGCTCGGGCTGGGCGAGCAGACCCAGGTCCACTGGTGGTTCCGCTGGTAGAAGGTCCGCCACTGCCACTAGCTCCACCACTGCTGTAGCCACTTATGCCCGGCGTCGAGTAACTGGTTCCAGGCATGTCATAGGGGTCAACTGCTGGGGGCTGGGAGGCCAGTGGCTGCCCCTGGGACTGGGCCATGGAAGAGATGAGGGTGGGTTGCACGAGCCACTGGAGGTCCTGGCTGGTTGTGATCGCGGTGACCGTGGGCACGAAGGAACCGGGCATTTCCCCAAGACCGGCGCACTCCTACGGGGTGACACATACACACACAGGCGTATACACACAAACAGAGACACCGACACACACGCACCCAGCACACATATACACACCGACCCTGTGAGTGAGCACAGGGTGAGCAGGTGTGGATGTGTGTGTCACAGGCAAAAAGCCACAACACCCACCCTTCCACTACACCGTGACGCAGTGGTTAATGAGAGGATCTCTGCTCAACTGGCTTCTACCTCCTCCTTCTTCCTCGGGGAAAGGTTGCACGGTTCCAGCGGGTGGTGAATCACACCCCGAGTTGGTGACTCTTAGGTGTGGGGGGTGGGGAGGAGGCTGGACACAGCCGGGTGACAGAACTCCCGGGACGGAGTCACAGCCACACACACAGCCACAACACCCCACCCCCACCCCAGAGGCAAGGGGAGGGAGAAGGAGAGGCCTTAGGCCAAGCCTTCCTCTACACTCATACCCATGCACACATCCCTCTGCGTGAGGGGGTGAGCGCTTGGAGGGTCTATGAGACCCCCCCGTGCAGGGGCCGGGGGTCCCAGTTAAAAGGGTATTGGGAGACGGGCCTAGGAGTTTAGAACAACGTTTCAAGTAATTTGCTCTTCCCAGAGTGAGGCTGACAGTGACAGGTTACGGTGGATGGACAGGTAAGAGAAAGTGACGACTCGGGACCCCTCAGACCGACGTGGAGGGAGAATGGTGTAGAGCCTGAGCCCCCAAGCCCAAGTATCGCTCATCTCCCCCATCCCCAGAAGGAATCCTGGAACTGCTCGCAGCGCTGAACTACTCTCCCAGGGGGCGTGGTGAGGGATGGGCTGGCCCGCTGGCCAATCAGCGTTCTAGAAACCCAGAAAGGGCGGAGCTCCTGGAGACCACCTGGCTGCTTTTCCTAGAGTTAGCGGTTCTATCCTGTCTTTGGACACTTTGGAGGGACCGGCATCTGGCGCAGAGGGAGTGGGAGTGTGTGCCTGGAGAAGAGGGTGACGGTCACCATGTCTCCCGAAGAAACCCCGACCCACAAACGGACATTCCCTGACTCTGAGAACGGAGGGACCGGATTCCCGACTAGTTTTCGCGGACTCATTGTGTCGCTCCTGTAGTGAGAGGAACCCTTTCGATCTGCCTCTAGAGGCCCATAAAAAAGACCCTAGCGCCGAGGACCTACGGATTCCCGAGATGGGGGGCGGGGGGGGAGAGAACTGCATCCTGCAAATAGGAAGGGAAAGTTGATTGGCTAAAGCCCGCGGCGCGGCGGCCAATCGGAAAGCCGGACTGCGCCCTCCCTAGCAACGTAGCCCCGGCGTTCCAAAATAGAACGCTCCCAGTACGTCAGGGGCGGGGCGGACGAAGGGGGCGCCGCGCGCCGTGCGTGCCCCGCGTCAGACGGAGGGTTCCAGCACGTCAGCCGTTACGCACGGGTCCCCCGTTACGTCTCCGCGCAGGAGGCGGAGGCAGAGGATCCGAGATTTCGGGGCCCACCTTCCCGCTGGATGGAGAGTTACCCAGCGCCGGAGTGGGCGCTCCAGTGGAGGAGGTAAAGGAAGGAGGCTACTGGAAGCTTCCCCGGGGTTTCCCCCACCTGCCTAAATGCGCTAGCTTCAGGTTGGGGACCTGAGTCGGGGACAGTCCCGGAACCAGCTAAAAGTTCTCTGCCCTGCTACCGCAAACACGCACTCTAAACGGCACAATCTCCTCACCGCCAAAGTTTACCTCTCCGCGTTCCCTTCCTGCGCTTCAGTCACACGACCATTTGCCAACAAGTCCCCGACTCTGCAGTTTGCAAAGTGCACTGTGAACCTATGCCCTCGCAAATCCTGGGTTCTGATGCGTCTTTATTTGGGGTGGAGAGATTGCTTGTTCCACCCTTGACTTAAAAAATTAAACCCCAAAACCCATTAGAACTTACCTGGGAGGCGGCGGCTGTGGGTGGACTGCCGAAGGAGTCCACCGAAGACAGATACTGAGACTCGGCAGAGGGTGAGGAGCTGCACCGGGAGCCGGAGTCGTAGTCTCCGGGGAAAGCCTGAAACATTTCCCTGGGCACAGGGGGGGCCCTGTGACCACGCTGAGGTCGCCGGGAAGCCAAGGCTATGGCTGGGTGGGAGAAGAAAGATGCGAGTCCGGGATGAGCCGAGCGCGTCCCTAAAGTGCGCTGTCCGGGGAAATTCGGGGTGGAGGGCAGCGTCCCGCTCCAACTATGGCAAAGTTTCTGTGCAATTCCTCTGCGGCGTCCAGGCCCCCACAAGATGCCGCTATGCCTCCTGGAAGTCCAGGCTCCGGAGGACCCAGGAGCGTGGCGGGGGTCGGGGGAGATCGCTCCCCCAGAGGCGGAAAGCGCTGTCCTGCTGTATAGAATCTGCTTCGGATGCGGTCTCCTCCACGCGTCCGGCGAGTCCCACGGGGGTCGGGGAGTAATAAAGAGGACGAAAGAAGTAAGTGGGTCCTCCAAAATAAAATGTAGAATTATCTAGAAGAATCCTTCCAAAAACTTTCTCTTCGGCAAAAAAAATATAATAAACTGAATTCCACAGCCCCCAAAACCACAACAATAAAGTCCCCAAGTCCCAGCTCCGCGTGTCCCTGCGGTGGCCGTAGCTCTCAGTCTTATGAATGAACCCCAAAGCCGCCAGCCTGTATTTATATGTCTGGACCCGCCCCCCCTCTGCTTTCGTCACCGGTCCCGGGCTCAGAAACTTCGCTAGATCTCCGGCCTGGCTGAACTAAAGATCGCGCCGCCCGGCAAGAGGTCTGTCCTAGCCTCGATCTAGTCACCTGCATCACCTTTGAGACCCTGGGGGTCTCGGGGGCTGCGTTCCCGAGCACTCAGCAGGAGGGGATTCCGGCCCCGCCTTCCCCGGAGCTGCTGTGACGCAATTAGCCATATAAGGAGTTCGGCCGGCGAGGCTGAGTGTTTGTTTGGTAACCTAGCAATTACGTCAGAGGGAATCCCTCGCTCGCTGGCGCGCTCGCCCTCCGCGCGTGCGGAACCCGCCCGCGCCTGCGCAGTGCAGTGTCGCCCGGGGGACTGATATTAATAGGCTTTTAGACTAGCCCGGGAAGGACCCCGACCGGGCAGACCCTAGCTAAAGGGTCCCCCTGCCCTCTGCAGCCCCTCCCAACTTTCTTACTGGTACAGCGCCCCCACTTGAGAGGAAAGTCAGGTCTCCAAAAGGAGATCCTAGCTAGGGTGCAGTAGTAATGTAGGCGGGGAAACTGAGTCCGCAGCTGGGTGGGAGGGGCTGGGGTTATCCAGGTGAAAGTGGAGGTGGGGTGGAGTCCCGACGCTCCGCGCAGCTTCTGCCAGAACTAGCTGTGTGAGCTTGGGAAATGTTTTCCGTCTTTCAGCTTCAGCTTCAGTTTTCCCAGCTTGGACAACGAATGTATGTGTTGGACCCTACAGGCCTCCCAGGTCCAGAGTTAGGGAGGTATGAAGGTGTGGAAAGGACAGGTAATGAAACGTACGGTGAAACGTCCCTGCTGATTGTTTTGGTAACCTCTACTTCTCGCTTTATTAATCCACAGATAGTAAGAATGGGGGAATAATAATAATAATAATAATAATAATAATAATAACAATAATAATAACATTGATGCCATGTATTTAACCAAGTGCTAGCTCCTATATTAAAACTTTAAAGACAAGATTTGTAATCCTTAAAACAACTTTGAGGGTTTAAGGAGGAAAATCTTTTATTTTCTAAAAGAGGAAAATGATTGGAAGGGTTCAGTGACTTGTCCAAGGTCCTATAGAAAGACAGTCAAAATTGTCAAATTCCAAAACTCCTACTCTGCTCCTGTTTTCTGAGAGCTGCTTGGTTCAGTGAAATTCCCTGAAAAACCTGGGTGTTGGGATTCTTTAAGCGACAATGGTGATAATAGTAGCTTCCAGTCGTCCTGACCTATAAGCCGTGTGGACCCATCCCTGTCTGCTTCCAGTGTACATTCTGCTATTCCAGGCTTGGAGGGGTAAAGCTGCCTACCTGCGGCTGCCCAGTTTGAGAGTCTAGTCTGGGTATTTTGGAAGCTACAGGCCCAACTCTTAAGCACCCCCTGGAAAGGGCCCCAACAGCTGCTTCACAGACCTCAGAGGTCCTGGCGCTTCCCTCCAAGTGCAGAGCCTGGCCCAGCCCTGCGCACAGAGGGAGAATCACTTTAAAATTGTTGAATCCCAAAAGCTCAAGAAGGGGAGGATCTGGCTCAGAGTCACACCACACATCTGAGGCAGAACAGGAGGGGTGGTTCCTGATTCCTAGGAGAGTCTCGATTCTCTGCTTCAATCGCTGGAAGGAGGTACAGAGTTGTGGAAGGCTGGAGGGACACCGAGGGCAATATGGTAAGGCGGAGGTTTCCAGACCAAATCCCAGCCTCAAGACTGCCCTCTACCTTATTCCTCCACGCCTCCTCTGTCTGCTACCAGTCTGGAAGTAGGGACGGGCACTGGGAGATGACACACCAACCACCAGCAGGCCGTGACTCGGCCCCAGCATCAGACAGGGAGTGATCCCTCATTCCCCTGTCCCTTCTGAGCCTCTCATCTGCTCTCCGTGGAATAAAGGAGACGCTCACATACGTAGCCTGGCTGCCCAGAGACCGTCACCCCTGCACAGCTGGCATGTACACCAACAAAGCCACTGGTGTATACTCCCAGGGTCACACTCCGCCACTCGGATGTTCACCCGTAACCAGCTACACGCATGGCCACGTGGAGAGCCAGCCTCACACATACCTGCACATAGAAGCACACAGTGTCACATGGTTGCCAGCACACATGACATGCGCGACAGGTACACCTTCACTGCAGGTGCATACGGGTTTTCTTCACACAACAGTAACCATGAGCACTCATATCCATTTATTTAACAATCCTGTGAGGTAGGACTGGTCATTTTACAGGCAAAGACACGGGAGGCCCAGAGAGTCGAAGTCACCTGCCTAGAGTCACACAGAGGCCGAGCGGCAGAGCTGGGATGAGAACGCAGCATGTGGGGCTTCAGAGCCCATGGTTTTGATGATTGTTAAAGGACTGAACAATCATTCTGTGTGTCAGTGTAGGCACACCCAGATGGTCACACTCAGGTAGAGGCTGGGCATTTACCCCTCAACAGACAGACCCGGAATCTGGGCAGCCGGAGCTCACATTCCGGCCCCACTGGTCAGTCAGTGGCTGGCTGAACTGGAGCTACTGCTGTCTGGAGCCTGTCTCCTCACCTGGGGAAGAGGATGGAATAGTGCACAGCTCGTGGGGCTGGCGGGAGGATTGTGTAAATATCCATCCATAAAGCTCCCAGAACACACCTGGCACATCGTAGGGGCTTGTTTTGTTGTCAAAACCGCGCCACCCTGCCCTGGCTGGTGTGGCTTGGTTGGCTGGAGCATTGTCCCTCAAACCAAAAGCTTGCGGGCTCCATTCCCACAGGGGCACGTGCCTGGCCTGTGGGTCCGGTTGGTCACATCGCTGTTTCTCCCCCTCTCTCTCCTGCTCTCTAAAATCAGTGAGCATTACAACTCCCACAGGCCCCTGGCACTTCTGCCCTCATGGGTCTCTTCCTCCAAAAAAGCCAGTCTTTAAAATTGTATTTCATGACTCAATGATATAAAGACAAATAACATTATATAGTAAAACGTTTTTTCTTCTATATAAATTCAGGTTTCTTCAGATTTTAAAATACATTAAACATTTCCTCGAGCCCCTAACATTGTTGTGGGCCCTAGCACTGCACCAACTGTGTCTGAGGGAAAAGGTGGCCACACACACACTCTCTCTCTCTCACTCAAACACACACTCAGACAGGCGCACCCACCCACAGAGCATGGGGTGGGCAAAGTAAGTCTTTCTCCATGGGGCTCAATTTGGGGGGCTCCCAGGAGGAGGAGGACCTGAATAGAGGAGAGAGGGCAGGACCCCTGCTCTGGCTCCCCAGGGCTTGGCTCCACAGAGGCCCAAGAGAACCCTGCGCCTCCCACCCCTACAGGTGGGGGCAGGCAGTGCCAGCTCTGCTTGCTCAGCACATGCTGTCAACAGCCCTGGGCCAGCTCCGCCAGAGGCAGGCCTCGGCAAGTCCTTCCACCGTTCCTTTGGCAAATCCTTGCTACCCTGTTTCCCAGCCTCCTCATCCACAGGGCGAGGAGATTGGATGACAGTGGGCTCTGAGATTTAATAACAAGAGTGAAGAGGAGGAGGAGCTGCTGAAAGCAAACGCTTAGTAAGCTATGCTCAGTGCTTTCGCACGCACTACCTCAGGTAATCCTCACACCACTCCGGCCCTGCAAAGGGGGTCCGTTATTACCCCCATTGCACAGAGGAGGAGACCAAGAGCAGTGCTTCTCAGCTGTGAGTATGATCGGCTCGCCTGGGAGTCTGGCGACACTGCAGATCTGGCATAGTCTGCTGTGTTCCCAGCAAGCCCCTGGGTGATGCCCAGGCTTTGGCTCCAAGAGAATGGCCCGTGAGTCTTTCTAAGGCATGAGAGGAGGGTCTGTGCAGGTGTGTGTCCCGCTGCCATGACTGTGACCTCCATGAGGGCAGAACCAGGCTGGTTAGTACTAACTGCTGGCTCCTCACTGCCCAGCAGTGAATAGTGAGTGTTACTGGCTGGCTGGGCCAGCTCCCCATTGAGCAATCCTGGAGGCCTCCTGTCAGGGGTGACTGCAGGAGTCTCAGGACAGCAGGAAGGTTTAGGTTGGTGCCTCTCTTAGCTTGACCTTCCCAATGCCCCAGCATTCTGCATTGAAACTCCTCACTCACCAAGGTCCACGAGGCCTGGCATGTCCTGGCCGGCACTGACCACCCCAGTCTCACCTCTCTACACTCCGGTGTTCCAGATGCCATGGTAGCTCTCCTCTGTCTTCAGGCCTCTGTACATGCGCTTCCCTCTGCCTCCAACACTCTTCCCTTTGCCTCCTCTGGCTCCTCCTCTCTTCCTTCAGGTCTCAGCTCCTGTGTCCCCTCCTCCCAAAGTCCCTTGGTCCCCAGGCTGGGGCAGTTCCCTGCCTCCCAGAGTCCCCCTCCCAGTTCTGTCTATCTGGGTTCCTCATGGTGACAGGCTGGCCTCCCCCTCTGGACTTCGGCTGTCCTAGTCACTCCATGCCCCTCACACAGTGCTGGCACCCAGTAGGTGCTCAATAGATACTCGGTTAAATGAATCTCCATTCACTCATTTATTCTTTTAAAAACTCTGATAGACGGTCTCAGACAGAAACCTATCTGGACCTCTCTGTTCCTTTGTCATCACATTTGATTGATGGGGGAAAGATGTTAGAGACTAGTCACAGGCAGGGAGTCTGTATGTGGATGTTGGGGCCTGCTTCCAGGTGTTGATGAACAGCCGGCTGGCCTGTTCCCAAGGAGGAAATGAGCTGAGCTGGTGACCCAGG